AGCCAGAGCAGAGAACTGTGTCAGGTGTCATGCCTGCCTGCTTTGCTTTAACCAGTCTTCTCTGATTCCGGCTGCCACACGCAGGAGCTTGTTTCCAGAGGGGGAGGAGACCGGCAATGGAAAGATTAGCTACTCCCCGGGTTCCACACAGGGATCAGTATTTTCAATAGTACTTTGTGAGTTCAGCCTTAAAGTAAATGGTTAATTCATCTTGTATCAACAGCACTGTGATTCATAATGTAAACTTGGAGAATCCTTGATGTTGTGGGCCCACATTCCTTTTAATTTGGCTCTGCATTCTTTTAAAGCCACAGTGTGCTCACTTAATAGAATGCAGCATGCAGATGCACAAGTTTTTGCCTGGAGGCGCTTTAGCCCGGCTGTTTCAGTGGATGTCTTCTTTCAAGTGTATATTCTTTCTTAAATTATTTACTGGGTAAACACACTTTGCATTTTCAAAAGGGAGATTGAGACTGCTTGCTGCATCTCTAGTTGAACATAAAGCCCCCCCTTCCCCAAAGTGAGAAGGTAGTATTTTTCAGTTCCTCCAAAGTTCTTTCTGGGTCTCACTAACTGGGGAACCCCTCTTCCTGGCTCGTTTCTGTGATTCTTTCCAAACTCTGCTTTCCTTTCTGCTTTGCCTATAGCTATACCCGCTGGCGGCCCTGGCTGTGACTGTCCTCTAGGCTTCCTCACAGATGGGGCTCACCAATGCCAGCCTTTGTTGCCCCTCCAAACTGGCTCAGTCCTGTCCACTCAAAGGCCCCAACAGCTCACTTTCCTGGTCATTAAACCAAACCAAACCAAACCCCTCGCTTGCGGGTCAATTCAGATTCATGGCAACCCAGTGTTTGTTACAGAGTAGAAACACTCCATACGGTTTTCTTGTCTGTAATCTCTACTGTAAAGTAGAGGGTCAGCGAAAAAGAGGAAGACCCCCAATGACATGGATTGACACTCTGGCTGCAACAATGGGCTCAAACATAGCAACGACTGTGAGGATGGCGCAGGACTGGGCAACGTTTCGTTCTATTATACATAAAGTCGCAATGACTTGGAGCCTACTTGATGGCACCTAACAGCAACAACAGTATTTGTGGGATCAGACCGCCAGGCTTTTCTTCTGTGGCACTGCTTGGTGGGTTCAAACCACCCACTTTTAGGTTAGTAGTCAAGTGCAAACTGTTTTCGCCACCCAGGGACCTATTCCTGGCCCTTAGAGGAGCTGCCCATCACCTTTGATGTTCAAAGCTGGGTTGATGGCCTGACCAGAGTCAAGCTCACTTCCAACCCGTCTGTTCCAACTCATTTTTGCCCCTCAGTATCCTTCAGCTCAAATATCTGCCAGCCTTTCATTTTGAAAAGGAGTCCCTAGACAGTGCAAACGGTTAATGCACTCAACTGATAATAGAAAGGTTAGAAGTTCTAGTCCACCCACAGGCTCCTCGGAAGAAAGTCCTGGTGATCTACTTCCAAAAAGTCAGCCATTGAAAACCCAACGCAGTACAGTTCTGCTCTGACACACAGAGCCGACTCAACACCAACTGGCTTGGCTTCTGGTTTGAAAGCAAATGGCCTCTTCTTCGCACTTCCACCCCCAGCACGCTTCGTTTCCACAGGGACCTTTACTTTCCTAGCTTCAGGCAGAAGACCCAGTAGTGCTCTGAGGAGATACCCCTGATAGGAAGTTCCATCGTTGGGGCTATACTTGACCTTTTCAATTCAGGCTTTCTACGCAGACTCCCGGAGATTTTCCTGCAAATTAAATTTGCACAGATTTCTCGGCTCTCCTATCTTGTATGGAATGATTATCCGTTACCCGGGCTGCGTTCTTTTGTTATCATCCCTTGGACAATTATCTTTTGAGTGCCTGTGTGCCAGGCATGTGCTGAGGCTCTAGAGGTGAATTCCACATCGTCCACACAGGTAAGTCCACAGCAGCCGGAGAGGGGGCTGTGAGGGGAAGCCAGCCAGGCTCCATGCATACACAAAGGAGGGAATGGAAAGTTGGTCTTTCAGAACCCTTGAGAGACAGCGACGAGGTAGAGCCGTTTGGGGATCAGGTGTGTGCTGAGTGAATTAAACACATGAGCTGTTAGGGAAGAACGTGGGGTACAGCCCACTCTTCTTTGGCTTGAAATGAGGGAAGCCCAAGTAGGAAAGCCAGGAAGAGCTGAGGATTTGACTCTAGTGTGTTCCTTTTTCTAACCATGCCTCCGATTAGACAAGTAACACCCACAGTTAATCCTTTGTAAATTAGCATCATGGATGCCTGGGGGCCCTCAACCCACAAATAAAATGATTGTCAACCAAGCCGTACAAGAGACACGTTACCGTATATTACTTAAGACAGAATTTTAAAGAGTTTTCATGCTTTTAATCTGTTTCACTGCTGAGTTTCAATTTTGCTGATTTCCTTTGCAAGTCTGATGAGGGGACAGTGGTAAGTAGAGATTTTGACAGGGGCTTGGGCAAGCCAGATATGTAGGGACTGTTGGGAAGACTTCTGCCCTTTCCAGAGAAAAGGGGGAAAAAAATCTGTGTGGGTTTTAAATTCAGCCAACAAGTAGCACCGATCAGTGTTCATAATTAGCTTCACTTTAATAAGCCATGACGGTCTATTTGTATGTATTTATTTTGGGGACAGAGAATCTTCCTACCCTGGGAGTAAATATGGCCTGTTAAATCGGAATTAGCTGTCATCGCAGAAGAATTAATGTCGGGGCACAGCCTTTCTAGTGGGGAAGGGAAAAAATAAACGAGACAGATCTTAGCCGAGCCTCCGTGATAAATGAGGACGAAGCGGACCATTCGTCTCCTGCAGGAGAGCGGACATAGGCGCTGACGCAGTTTTGCGGAAGACGTGTCAGCAAATGTGATCATTTTGTAACCTGTCAGGAGGAGAGGGAGCTAGTCCTTTTAGGGTGCCACAAGGGAGTGGGTTTGTCAGAGGTGACAGCTCCCATCCATCCATTTAGGTTTGCGGAGGCGGGGTGAGGGGTCAGAGTGGGAGCTGAGAATGTGGAGGAACTTGACTGCAACTATAATCTGATGCCATCATCCTTCCAAGAAATAAACTCATATGGAAGCTAGACAAGGTGGTGAAGACCCTGCAGAGATTTATTTGTGAAGATACAAAGCAGCCAGCAATTCCACTGCTAGGGATATACTCAAAGACTTGAAAGCAGGGACTCAAACAGATACTTGTATACTAATGTTCATTGCAACACTATTCAATAGCCAAAAGGTAGAAGCAGCCCATGTCTGTATCAACAGATGAATGGATAGACAAAAGGGGGTGTAGCCATACAATACAATATTACTCAGCCATAAAGAGAAATGAAGTTCTGATACTTGCTACAACATGGATGAACCTTGAAAACATGAGTGAAATATGTCAGACACAAAAGGGCAAATATCGTTTGATCTTACTTATCTGAAATACCTGGAATAGGCAAATGCTCAGAGACCAAAGTTTATTAGCGGCTACCAGGGGCAGGTGAGAGAGGGAAAGAGGGAGTTATTGTTTAAGGGGTACTGACTTTCTATTAACCAAAAAATCAGACCCATTGCCATCGAGTCGATTCCGACTCATAGCAACCCTGTAGGACAGAGTAGAACTGCCCCATGGAGTTTCCAAGAAGTGGCTAGTAGATTCAAACCGCTGACCTTTTGGTTAGCAGCCAGGCTCTTAACCACTGCGCCACCAGGGCTCCGAGTTTCTGTTAAGGGTGATGAAAAATTTGGAAACAGATAGTGTTGATGGTCACACAGCATGGTGAATGTGATTAACGTCACTGAATCGTGCACATAAAAACGAAATGGAAAATATTTTGTTATGTAAATTTTACCACAATAAAATGAAAAAATACGAAGTAGGAAGGTGAAGTCTTTGTTAAACTGGGGGTCTGGCTTAAACCCACCTTGCTCTTCCCTCTGGAAGACCCCTGTCCAGTGGTCTGTGCCTCCAGTAAGGCAGCAGGCCTTTTCCTGCTTGATAGAGGATGGTTGGATTGGGTTTTAACTGGGTGGAGAGCCGCCTAGGCTGCCAGCCACTCTCTCTATTTCCGTGTGGTTCTGTGAGAGCGAGCGTGGGCGAGGCTGTTTGACCTGGGTTCTCTTTGAAAGTCTCAACAAAGCATTTTGATGTTCGGCCTCTTTTCTCAGAACAAGGTAACAGATTATGAAACAGCTTCAGGAGAAGCGCTCTGCAGGCATCTGAGATGCCTGTCTCCGTTCTGGTTCTCCTTCTGCGTTCTCAGGACCCCATCAGCTTTCAGCAGAGCCAGAACCCAGGGGGTTAGGAGCCCTAGAGGGGAGGGCCCACCCACAAATGCTGAAGCAGCACCTGGGGTACTTATTATTATTTCTCATTTCCATCTTTTTGCCATGGAGCAAATGTAACGTTTCCTCGTGACGTAACCCAGGGTGAGCCAGCAGTGACATATGACGGTTTTACAGCCTAAACTGCAAGTTTGACACTTGCTTCTTAATCCTGTCCTTTTCTTCCTCGGTCTCGCTTTTACTTCTCCCTGGGTATTTTTTGTGCAGGTAAGTACCTTACTGACATGTGTTTCCTTAGCGTCTCTCACTTTAACAGGAAACACTGCAAAAAATGAGCCTTGTCTCACTTTTTAAATGAAAAAGAGAAGCTCGCATGGGGCCCTTGGTCACTTAAGAGACTACATGGTACTCAGAGCCCAGAAAGCCATTTGATTCACTCAGCTCTGCGGTAACCATTTCCCCGAGTGCAGTGTGACAATCACCATGGAGTCGTTCATTTCCTTTCCTGGTGTGTCTTTGGAGAACCAAAAAGCTGCCTGTACACGCACACACACACATAAGCATGCACACACACGCGCACGCACACGAAAAACCAGGCTCCTCACCCCACCTGTGCTGCTGTTGTTTGATTAGCCAACTTGGTCTTGGATGGCCTTTGGCAGATGTCCTCCAGTCTATCTGTGTGATTTTTTTTCTTTCCCTTTGCTCTCTCCTAGAATCATCCAGAACCGTATTCTGCTCATCATCCTGGCAATCATCGTGGTCATCACCATCCTGATGGCGATTATTCTTTATGTCAAAAGACACTGATGTATCTGCTGTCCCTTGATAAACAGCAACAACGGCTTGTTCTGAGTAATTAAGACAGAATGGTCACATGAATCATTCTTTTGCACTGACAGGCCCTGTGACCCCTCCCTCCCTCACCACTGTGTGTGCAGCCGAAGCACAAAGAGTGTAAAACTATTTTCTATCCCTGTTTGCATGTGGGTTGATTTCCTCTTCCAGGCTTGTCTTCACCCAGATTTGCTCTTCGTAGGGGAAGGTGAATGTTTATTTGCCTGTTGGTCATTTCATCGACTGACCAAAAGAGCCCCTGTGACATTCTTCCTTGCCCTGTGGGCGTGTCAGGGTCACGGTCTGGGAGAGGGCGCTATGAATCAGTCCTGGAGCTTCCGATGGGTGTGCTCCGTGGCTGGCTGTTTGTCACACACCGCTTGTCACCGACTTGCCCTTCTGTAATGTCCAAGGATGCAAGTGCAGAGAAAACCAGGGTCTGGAGCCAGTGAACTGCTCCAGCAGATGGGCCAGCTTCCTACCCAAGCATAATGAAGAGCCCGCCTGCCTGAGTGGTTTCATTGTAAAGGTGGGTATTTAATGTCAGATGTGCAGGAAATTTCCCTATTTTTCTATTGCCTCATATTTTTATTTTTTACCCAAGAATGTCTTTGCTGAGTCCACCTGATGTCCACTTTTCACAACTTTGATTACCAGCTACAAGAACTATTCCCTTTCATTCCAAAAATTCCATACTCCCTAGAGTTTGCTGGCAAAGTGAGCCTTGGCACGGTATTTAATTGTGACCTCGTCTTCCCTGACCTGTGTAAGCATCTCTGTATCCTTCAGGTTTTAATATTTGCACTGCCAAAAGCAGCCCTCATACATGCAAAAGGTCTGACAAGGGTCTCTCCACATCCATTCCAGTATGTAAAGAGAACATGAATATTTCAGTAAGAGCAAGAACATGACTCTGTCAGTGTGAAATTTCAAATGTGATTATAAATATAGTAAAGTCCTATAGGATGATCCACTAGAAATAAACTTCACAGAACATGTTCACTAACCTCCTTTCAAAGATTAAGGGATTGCTGAGTGTTCCAAAAAAAAAAAGGATGGCTTGGTTTTCGTTTTTGTTTTTTTTTAAACTGACAAATATTAGCAAAGCCTTCCTGAATTTAATGTGTATTCAAACTTCTAACATGCGCTGTGATTTTCTTTCATTTCTCTTTGTCTGTGAGTAACAGGAATTGCGTTCAAAATGAGTTCGCTTGTAATCATGCTTAAAGTTGCCCAAGATGAGGTCATTTTTCCCCTACTTGTAAAGCAAAAAGTGTTTTTCTTAAGACTTCTTAGGCAGTTCCAGGGTCCATGATGTCTTTCGAGTCTAATTGGAAGCTTTGGATGCTTGAAAAGCAAACCTATCCTCTTCATACAAAATGCTAACCACCTGTGCCCACGGACCACGGTTGCCCGGATGCAGCGCTTGATGTTTCTCCCAGCTCAGAAGAGAACCATTATGGCTTAGCGAGGAAATGCAGAATGCCAAAAGCCACCAGAGAAATGGAACTTACCGAAGCAGGCCAGGGCCTGCATGTGTTCCAATAAATCATTTAGTATTGTGTAAATAAAGCTGCAGTCTGACTTCGGAGGACAGTGTGGGATTTTGGCAGAGGGAAGTAGGACAACAGAGGAGTGGGAGGCTGGGCTAATTTTCCTATCGGCTGAAGGGATCCATCTCTGCAAGAATCTTTTATTCTGATACTGGAATTCTATACTGCCAAAAACATTGATGAAATCATTGGAGTAAAAAAAAACCTCCTCCTCATTCTGAAACACTAATCTTTGTGAAGAATTATACCCACTCCTCTGATGGCGTCCTTCGAAACTGTTGATCTTAGCTAACGTGTATAACTAGTTATCGAGCCACTCCTGGCGCCTCCATGCCTTCTACCACTCAGCAGACTCTTCCTAAGGCCACCCAGCAAGCAAGGTTGACCCCCTAATCTAAACTTGCTGGCTCCTAAACATTTAACTCAAACTTTGGCTCATGTTGAAGTAGATAAAATGAGAGAGAGAAATGCAGTGCTCACCTCTCAGTGGCTTTTTTTTCCCTCCCAGTTCTATCTCTTTATCAGCTCTTGCCTGTGATTTTGCCCCAATTTAACTTCTGCCCAAGGACACCTTGGGAGTGGAAAGAAGATGAACAGGTAACCCTTGGCCTAACAGCTCCATCAAACCCACCTGCAGAGGGACCATCTCATAGACCAGGGTAGTAAGTGCTTTGTGAGGAAGTGAGTCAGAAGGTCCCCTAAACATCTCCCCTGACCCTCCTGGATGCTGGAGGAGAGACGCAAAGGAACCCCAAGGAAGACAAAGTACTCTTTCTCCTTCCCTGCCCCACTGGGGAATAAGAAAGTCCACAAATTCGAAGCAGGTCTTAGATCTGTGAAAGGTTCTAGATACTTAATAGGTAGACGTCAATAGATGAATGTTTCTAAAGTTGGGAGCCTTTGTTAAAAATGAAGTTTTATGGAGGTAGGGAGGATGAAGATGAAGATGAGGAGGAGGAGAAGAAAACTCTTGCCATGTAAAACTCACGCCGCCACCTAAGCAGTTTCCCTGGCAGAGTGAATAAAGCAGATGCTACCCTGCTTCAGAATCGAAAGCAATTTAATTAAAGTCTCTTAAGTTGTAAAGAGTTTTAAATGCTCCACGTTGAAGGCGAAGGCCTACAAATGCAGTGAGATTGACGTCAGCCACTAGGCCTGGGCTGGGAGGCCATTTGCTATTCTGTTTAAGGCAGGCTGGATTGAAGAAATCTTATTTTGGAACCAGCTTGGTGGGGGGTTTGCTTTGCTACTGCTTCTGAGCCCTGAGCTTCAAAGGCTGAAATTAATGGTGAACAAAATTGTGCGGCTCTGGCCGTCCCATGCGGGGCAAGCCCATTGAGGGTTATCATTAAGTAAAGAAATAAAGAGGGGGGAAAAAGCCTGCCTGTTCCAAAAACCTCATCAGATAATGACCTCAGTGATTGGGTTTTCCTTACCAAACAGCATCCAGAGATTATCTGCCCTGTAGAAGGAGGGAGGGGGAAAGAAAGGCAAAGAAAAGCAACTGTCTTTCTCTCCATCTCTCTCTTTTTTTTTGCACATCTTTTCTTTAAAACTGTCAGATCATTTCAGTATTTCAAATCCGAGGAAAACAGCCTGCCTGCTGCTGTATTTGAAGTTGTAATGGTGTCAAAAAGTCACGACTGACTGACAGCCGTCAGTCCCAGAGGAGCTCATTAAATCATAAAAACTTGACAAGGAAATAATTGCGCATCGCCAGCAACTTGGCGCCTGTTTAGACGTTTTTATTTTCTTTCATTATTAGTCCCCACCATTACGTTCATTAACAAATTGCATTAAACAACTGTTAAGGGCTAATGATTTGTTTATCGCTTTTTTTATTATTATTATTTAAACATTAGCTGTGTCATGTGGTACCCCAGCAGCCTCTTGCCATCATCTGACTGAATATTTTTCCACTCCGAGCTCTGGGTACTGTTGGAATATGAAATAGATTATTCATTACTCTCCTCTTTGCCACTGATTTGGTTTCATGTAGCGTCTTCCACAGAGAAAGATGAAAACTTGTCAAAAATAGGTTATATCTTATTCGAAGGGGCAACAATAGCAGCAGGTAGAGGCACACTTTAATATTTAATTAAGGTTGATGTTAACCCCTTTAAATGACTTTAGCTGTAAGTTATATTCAAATGCAGAAGAGAAAAATAATTGTTCTTAATTTGCAAGCTATTCAGCAGGCATTCTTCATGGAGTTAGCTGGAAATTTAGAGCAGAATTTTTAAATAATGAAATTTCCCAGCATAAATATTTATAGCAGTTTGTCGACATAGTTGAGAATTAACTACTTTTGCCCACATCCAAGCAATGATTTCCTCATCACTTTGGTTTGAACTGCTAGCCTAGCAGGACACTCGGTGCTTGGAAGTGGAGGTAGCTTTCCTGGGAGGACGAGGCCAGAGCCAAGGACTGTTGGTTGGTTGTGGCTGGGGCTGGTTTCAAAGGAATCACTGTGAGTCCCCAATCCTGGCTCACTTGCCTCTCCCCCTTTGCCTGAGTGTGTGGTTGGAGGACTGTGGTCTGGAGGGAGAGTAAGTAGGGACAACTTAAAGGAAGACTCTTGTGGGTCCAGTTGGCTTGTGCATGGGGGTGTGAGGGAGGGCATCTGGGGGCCTCTGTGCAGTCAGTTGAAGCTGATTGCACACAGTTAACAGGCAACAGCAGCGGCACTTTGCGGGCCTTGACCTTCCACCTGCTTTCGTCTCTGTGATTTGCCATTGGTGAATTGATCTGCTTTTCTGCGGGCTGTGCACTTGAGGGGCCTGAAAGGAAACAGCTCCATCATATCATCCTAGACCAGAAGTCGAAGGAGTTCTCCATGCCTTAACTGCTGGCTGCAGCTGGTTGCCCAGTCCGATTCTATGAATTTACTGAACGATGGAAATCACCCTCAGAGGCCTGCTTCATTGGCATTTCAGGGCTTGGGCATTCTGTTCACTGCCAGGGAACCGGAAATACCTTTCTCCCAGTCTCTTTCTACTCCCACCCTTGCATCCCCAGAGGGACCAGACCTCTTACGCAGTGACACTATGGGCGTGAAGGGAAAAGATGGTACATGCCCTGTGCTCAATGCAGCATCTTTCAGCACCACCCACCCAAGGACAGATGGTCCTACAGGAGTGGTGGCATGGGAGAGGCCAGCCCATAGCTATGAGCCAGGTACAGCCTGGTCTCGAGCCTCGCTCTGTGCCCTCATTGACCACTGTCAGTGATAATGGAGATGGCAGATGCTCCTGGATCTGGAGGGTCTCAAGTCTTCATTTCAACCCACTCCAGACCAGTCACATGACTACCTACCACCCTTGGAATGCTCCCACAGCTCAGCAGAAGATGTGCTCAGAGTCCCCAGTCCAATTCCCAGAGACCTAGGTTAAGGGTGCTGCCTCACCCTATGCTAAACTAAACCTAAACTAGACCCCAGGAAACTTCTCTGGTTTACATGATGTCATGGATTGAATTGTGTCCCCCAAAAATATCTGTCAACTTGGCTAGGCCATGATTCCCAGTATTGTGTGATTGTCCGCCATTTTGTCATCGATGTGATTTTCCTGTGTTGTAAATCCTGTCTCTATGATATTAATGAGATGGTATTAGCAGCAGTTATGTTAACGAGGTAGGACTCAATCTAGAAGATTAGATTGTGTCTTAAACCAATCTCTTTTGAAATACAAAAGAGAGAAGCAAGCAGAGAGACATGGGGACCTCATACCACCAAGAAGGCAGCACCAGGAGTAGAGCGCATCCTTTGGACCTGGGGTTCCTGCACGAAGAAGCTCCTAGACCAAGGGAAGATTGATGACAATGACCTTCCTCCAGTGCTGACAAAGGAAGCTGTCCCCTGGAGCTGGCACTCTAAATTTGGACTTCTAGCCTCCTAGACTGTGAGAGAATAAATTCTCTTTGTTGAAGCCATCCACTTGTGGTATTTCTGTTACAGCAGTACTAGATGACTAAGACACATGGCTTACTTTGACTATGGCTCAGTGGGCTCAGACCAGTGATATCTGCCAGGTGAGTCTTAGATAAGATGCCAATCTTTTCTAAATGGGGCATGTGACTTGGATGAGGACAGTTCAAAGAAGTTCTTGGAGCCACAGGCACTGCATCCAAAAAGGGTGATGTTGAAGGGTACCCAAGATCAGCCAGGCCCAGGCAGAGGAAGAATGTGTGTGATTAGAACCAAAGCTGGATACAAGGTCTTGAAATTGGTAATTGAGTCAGGGTCAGTGTCCCCTCCTGATGGGGAGGTGGGAGGACACAGGGAGCACCAAGAGAGGCTGCCTACCACTGTTGGGATTCCAGATCAGTAATAAGGTAAACACTTCAGAGCCAGTTTACCAGAGGCAAGTAGGGAAAAACCAAGATGGTAGAGGAAAACCAAGATGGGAAGGATAAACCAATAGGGAAGGCAAAACTAAGATGGCAGAGGAAAACCAAGATGGCAGGACAAATGAGTTGGTAATGTGTAAAGAGATGAGGAAAAGATGGGGTGCAGTTGAAGGATGGAGGGACTCCGCAGCACCACGGGGCAGGAGGTGGTTAGCAGGGCCCTTTCCAGGGAGTAGCCAAGAGGGAGGAATACAGGCGAGTAGGCCCCACTTTGTACTATCCTGGACCCATCAGCAGGCAGCCAAAGAAGAGGAAAGACAGCATGCGTCTCTCATGGGACCCTGCCCAAATCACAGACCACCCCTGTTGCCTCATGAGGCTCCCAGCATGCTGTAGGAAAAGCACTTCCTCATCCTGAATCGCCTTGTTACTCGTGCTACATAAATAATGAAGGCATCACAGAGGAAGGGGAGAAGTGCCAAGAAGCAGAGCTCTGAACTGTGATTCCGTGAACCTGTGCACCCCTCCTTTCCTTCATCCAAACAAGGCCCTTTGGCGTGAATAATAGCTCAGCAGCTCCGAAGCCTGTATTGATCGGCTGCATACGCAGCCCCGCTGAGAGCTGCCTGGACTTTTCCTGGGGGCAGGCCGGGTACCATTCCTGCAGCCCGCCTCTGCCTCCCCACCTCCCCCAGCCTCCCTCAGGTGTGTTCAGGAGGGGACAGGACCAGGGGGAACCAAGGCCCTTCTCCAGCTCAGCTCAACATTTTTGTTTTTAATTTATTTTGCCAGGATAAGTACCCAAGTTGGAGAGGAATGTTTTTGCATGTGGAAGCCCCACAGAGTTGAGAATGAACTCCTTCTCAGTTCCAGCTTCTCTCTGGAAGGCTCTGCCAGGGGCTCAGGCCACAGAGGCACCCTCAGCCAACACCAGGGCTTCGAACCAGGACGACCGGTTCAGTTATGGCCAACAAAGTGAAACCAGAAGAGACCCGATTTTTTTTTTTTTAATTTGAGTGATCTGGAACCATAACCAGAATGGGAAAAATTACAGGTCAAAGCCCTGGAAGGGAAGACTCAGAAGCGGCGTAGTGAGCCCTTTCAGAACCCTGAGGGGGGAGGTTGGATTGTTGCCAGGACTGAGGAGAGCAACGCACACTTGAAGTGGCACTGTCGGCCACCATCTTGGAGTGGGGCACGGCTGTTTCCAACTCTGCACAAAATCCGACTGGCAAGAGATTTGGTTGCTATGCAATGCTTACGCTGCTCTTGTTTTCTAAGAGGGAGATAAAACTTCTAGCAGGGCTTCAACCCATAATTTTTTCCATTCCAGTTATGGTTCTGATTCAGCCAAATTTTTTTTTTTTTTTTAATTTGAGTCCATTTTGATGTCACTTCCTTGGCCATGATTGAACCAGGAATAATCAGTTCAAAGCCCTGGCCAGCACTTACTGAGGTCCTACTGTGTGTCAGCTTTACGCTCAGCACTTTGACTACTGTATTTTCCTGTTAATTTTCCCTGTCCTACCCCATCAGAAGAGAGAAGAGCCCAGAATGTGGTTAGAATCCATCACCTCTTTGGAGCGAAGATGTTAAATTCAATGGAGAACCATCAGCCATAGGCTAGCAAACCAGCTGGGACAGAAGCCCTGCCAGTCCCTCTCCATGAGACTCCAGCCCGACTGTCCCCTTCCCCCAGTTTGCAAGTTTTCCAAACACAGGAAGTGGCCAAGGCCCTGGCCCTTTGAGGGATATACAGTTGCGAGGTCAGCCAGGCCCCTGCACAGTGACACCCCACGGGCTGGTAGATGCCTGAAAGCCTATCTTTAAAGACTGACTCCTTTGGTTTCCAACCTTGAACGCTAGGAAAATGCAGCTCTCTAAGCAGTTTCAGTTCCATCAGTCACTGATACCTCTGTGTGATTTTGGATTAGGGGCAGATTTTGGATTTAAAGGCAGTGAGGCAGGTAAAGAGAAGAGAGATCTGCCACCAGTGGGAGTGAGCGGTTAGTGGTCTTTGCAAGCAGTGGAGGGGGCCTTGGTTCCCTGGAGACCAGCTCCGTAGAGGAATATCAGCTGCACCATTAGGTAACAGATGGATTACCTGGGACACAGCTTGGCCCATGAAGCCCGCAGCCTGACCAGGTTCTTCTAAGGACTGTGCTCTGGCCCAGGGCTACACTCAAGCAAACATGAGCAGTCTAAGGATAGTCTTGGCCAAGGAGAGGCCACTTGTGAGGGTCCCTGGTCCTTCCCATGGTAGATCCCTTGGCTGGGAAGGATGGAGAGAAAGCAGGAAGACAGGGGTGGAGTTAGAACCCTGGGCTCCAGTACATTGTTGCCCTTGGTGAGCTCCTCTAGCCTTATGTCACCATTTGGCATTTAGGGAAGGGCCCAAAATGGATTCTTTACACCCTGAGCAGATCCTCCCCACACGGCCCCACCCAGGGATCTTGGCATGGGGAGGCATCGTGACCCTCAGTGCCTCTCTCTGCTCTGTTCTTGTCTCCTCTTATTCATCCAAGCCCACCCCTCTGGAGTCCTGGGCTGCATTTCTGAGAGAGATGACACAGTGAGGAGAACTAGATGGCATGCTCGTTAGTGTCCCGACTAGACTTCTAAATAATTAGACCTTTCCCTGTTTCAAGCATGAAAGGTGTCGTCAGGTTTGTTTATCTTTTCAATAAATACTTATTGAGCATCTGCTATGTGCCAGGGCCTGAGGATAATTGGTGAAGAAGATCGATAAGAAAACAGGTGAGATCCTCTCACAGCACTGGGGCTGGTGGTCAAAGCAGCATTCCTTTCTAGTCTCCTGACTGGCTGGCTGATCCCAGGGAATCAAAATCTCATTGAGATGGCCTTGCCTCTCTGCCGCCCTCCACCTGCCTTCTGACATCAGTGAATTACTGGGCAAAGCTGTCTCCAAAGAGACAGTTCCATGTGTCCATGCCTCCTTGCAATTAACATGACAACATTTGCAAAAGAGCCCTAATGGAGATGGCACTTGCCTGCAGGTGAGTGGCCCCACCAGCTCCTACCACATGTCCAGGACCCACCTAGGAGAGGCCAAGGACAGGAAGGAGGACCATTTAGACCAAGGCTGGCTTGGAGGATTTTTTTTCTTTCTTTTTTCTTTTTTTGTTCTGCTTATTAAATGATAAAGGCTTGACTTGGCGGGCAATCAGAAACCCAAAATATCATAAAAGGGAAAAAAGTTGCCGCGTGGCTAAGAGGTACACCACGGGAGCATCGCGGGGCTCGCCTGCAAGGTGAATTGCTAAGCATTGAGCGGCAAGCAGGGAGGAAATGAGCAGCAGACATTTTCAAAGGCTTCACTCTCTTTCTCCTCCTCTCTCCATCCCCATGCGGAAAGGGGAAAAGAGAAGCAGAATCTAGGTTTGGGCGAGTGGCTGATTTGGGGCCCCCACCCCCAGACAGTGGAGAAACTTTGATGTCTGGGCGCATGGGACTCAGGATGGGAGGAGCTGGGCGTCCCAGCCAATGCGTTGTCCGGGCCTCTCTGAACTCCTTTGTGAAGGAGATGAAACCTTCAGAGCCAAGGAGAGCAGGGTTTTGAAATGAGCAAACGTGAGGTCCCGTCCCTTGAGCTCCATTCTGGCCGCCTTGGTGTCAGAGAGTGTTGGCAAAAGCCAGCCAGGCGGAGGCACTCAGATTCCCAGAACCCAGGAGCTGTGCAGGCTTTTGGGGTCATTTTGGCCAGGCTGCTCGGTTTCAGATGGGGAAATGGGGCTCAGAGAGGTGACGAGACTGCTCAAACTCACTCAGAAAATTGGTGGTGGGGCCAGAGGTGGACTCCAAGTCTGCACCTCCTGTGTGGCGTCTTCCCTCTGCACGAGGAGGCAAACTTTAAACAGCATGGTACCTTGGGATGGGCATGGTGGCAGCAGTCTGTGGCACAAAGGTTGTAATACTGTTGGAGGTTGCCCATCTGCTGTTGGTTGGGGTGGTGAGCCCAAGGAAGGAAGACATGCCTGGCTCAGCTTCCCAACTCCTGGCCACAGCATGTTGGTCCAGCAGTGAGCAGGAGAGGGAACCCAGCAGCCAGACTCGAGTGTGCCTGTGCATGCCCAAGTCACGCGGGAGGGTCTAGGAGCCTATGAAGGTCTGAACTTGCACTACACT